TGGCTCATCCCTGCTTCTCGTCCGCTTCCCCCCTCCCCCCTGCTCCGTTGCCACCACCTGCTGAGGGGTGTGGGGCAGGCCATTACAGCTCCATCCGTGCCCCCACTCTGTCCCCTGTGTCCCCGCCGTCATGGCGGTACTCCCCTGCTCCGTCTCCTGTCCAAATGCTCTTGAAGCACTCTGGTTGTTTCAGTCAGCCAGTCGGAGTGCAAATGAAGTGTTACGGACAGACTAAGGCTTTATAATATTAGAATGTTGTAATGCAGTATTACGGTGTCATATGAAAACTTGCTCAGCCCTACAAGCACTGGAATGTGTCTAATTTCAAACATTACAGGTTCATAACCTAGATGGTATTAAGATTGTGCAGCTAAAGTTTTTTCCAGGTATCAGGAAACGAATATGTAGTGTTCCAGTAGTGCTGGTGTTAACATACTTCATAATTTTTGAGGTACAATGACTTTTTTATTAGCTTATATCTTTCCACTTTTTTCATTACCATCTTTTTCCAACACACTTTTGACTTTGCGATACACCCCAATGCACCTGTTTGTGCCCCACAGTTGCACGTTTTTTATTTCTAGGATGTGCATGGAAAAACAAGTCATTAGAGTAGGATGCCACAGCAAAAATTGACTTAGGCTTGATTTTCAAGCTCATCTCTATGCCTTAGAGTGATGGGATAATTAAGTCTTTCTGCTTAGCCTTTTAGTTGCCTTTTTGTAAAAGCTACTAGTTAAGATTCCAATGGGTGCTTGCTGAGCTAATAGATAACTGTATTAGGAATGGGTCTAGTACTACAACTGGATCTCCAAAAAATTATTATATTTAACCTCAAGCTAGTACTCCTGTGTTCAAATGGTCCATTTCCTGTTATTAATCCAAGTTAAACAGTTTCTAGTTCTAAACTCATTTTAGTGTTTGCTTCTAACAGTATAAAACTTTGCAGGCATTTTATATAAACTTTTATTTCCTATTCCTCTCCCCCTTTTTTCAGGTTGCTTTGCTGGACATAGACATTTGTGGTCCATCAATACCTAAAATGATGGGTTTAGAGGGAGAACAGGTATGACTTCTTTTTTGGTTGTTTTTAAAACAGGCTATCACAAGCAGCCTTACAAATTATTGATTGGGAGCACCTTTGGCATGTTAATTTTGTTAAAAATAACCTGTACACAGAAGCAGTTGCACGTACGTCTTCTGCAAAGTGCACAAATCATACAAGTGAAAAGTTAAGGCCAGACAATGTCGTACAGTAGACTTTTTCAAAGACAGGTACTGCAGAATGGTATGATACTGTAAAACTGCAAAATGATGAAGCCTTAAGAATAACTTTTTTAATTAATATTTTTCATAGCTTTTCCAAAAGATACTTCTTTAACTTCATTTTACAGATGACACCTTGTTGTGGGTTGAATTTTTTGAAAAATAAGGAGTAAGGGTGCACTGATACAATTTTTTTGGGGCCGATACCAATGGCCAATTTATTAACAAGCCATATTGGCTGATACTGATCCAATTGCTGATATGCAAGCCTGGCAGTTTGGAGAGCAGTGTCGGGCCAATAAGTCTGTTAGGGTGTAGGGGCATGGGGCGGTGCATATCAAAGCCCCCGCAGTGAGGGAGTGAGTGGGGCTGGGGCAGCAGCAGGTGCTGCTCAGCTGGGGTGGAGCCAGGGATAGAGCCCCAAGCAGCTCATCTGGGGGGTGCAGGGAGGGAGGGGGTGGCCCCTGCTGCTGCATGCACCCCTAGTGGAGGCATGGAGGCACATGCCCCCTGGACCTGTGCATGGGACAAGGGCGGGCTGCTGCTGTGAACTGGGGCTGAGGCTGGTACTGGGCTCTACCTGCCAGGGAGGTTGGGCCAGGGCAGTGGGTGGCCACAGCACTGGAAGGGGGGGGGGCGGGCTATGGCAAATTTTGGGGTGGTTGTAGCCTACCCTGTAGTGCCCCCTCTCAGCGCTGCCGCTACCAACTGGGAGAGCAGTCCTAGCCCAACTCCCTTGCTGGTAAAAGCCTGGTGCTGCCCCCGGCCCCAGTCTGCAGTGGCAGCCTGCCCTTGTCCCACGCAAAGATCCAGGGGACATGTGCTGCGCGCCCCCCCACAATGGATCCCCCAAGGGTATGTGCAGGAGCCGCCTCTCAGACAAGCCACTCTGGGCTCTGTCCTGTGCCTCACCCTGTCCTGGCTGGGTAGTGCCTGCCCCAGCCCCTGCCCCACTCCCTTCCTCACTGTGGGGGGCCTCTATGTTCTTCCCCCATACTCCCCCAACAAACTTAACAACTAGACGCTGTCGGGCAGACTGCATGCATGCTGCGGTTGTGTCCATGCATGTGGCTTTTATCACTGATGTTATCAGCCATATCGGGGAAAAAAAAGCCAATTGCTGATAATGTCAGTTTTCCTTTTATGGGTGCTAATACGATATGGACCGTTATATCAGTGCAGCTCTACTAAGAAGCAGCTACAATATCTGAGGGCTGTATTGTAAATTGTAAGGCGGCATGCCTGCAGTCATAGTCACTCAGTTTTTACTTCAGTAGAATGTATTGTTTGCTGAAGAGTTCAGGAATTCAGGCATTTTGCAATTTCTTAAGCTTGGCCATTTGGCTGTCCAACGGCATTGATTGGACAGCTTGTTTCTGAGCACCAAGCTTGAAATATAGCTTGTTTTAGACATAATTTGTATATATGCTTCTTACAGAATTATTTTTTAACTTAATGTTTACATCGTCAGGTTCATCAGAGTGGTTCTGGATGGTCTCCAGTGGTAAGTTAGCTCTGTGTGTGTGTGGAATTTTTAAAGCTTTTCATTCTTGTTTGCGTGCTCGTATTGTTTTTTTATTTAAAGAATTATTCTTGGGGCTCGAGAGAGAAGAGCAAGTATTTAGTGGCATGTTTTCTTCTACACACAGAAGTTCTGCTCTTTAAAAGACTACTTTTTAAAATCTTTAATATTTAACCTAGTTCAGTCTTAAATATTTAACCTAATATTGAACATTAAGCTTTACATTTCTTTTAATTTCAAATAGCTTGGCTATTCAAAATAAAAAGTTAACTTCCTTTTTTTCAAAAGGAAAAGGTTTCTGCCACTTCAGTTTGGACAAAGAAAATAGAATAGTCAGGTTCATTGTTCTTATGTACCTACATGATACTTCACTTTTCTAAATAGAAAATATTGATGATAGCATGGCCTCTATGAGCCAACAAATATCAGTTTGAGGCTAACAACATGCAGACAAACCCGCCATTTTTTAATTACTGCCTCCAAGGTGTATCCTGCACACAGAAACCTTTGTTGAATGAGGAAGGATGTGGTGTCTTACTGGCATGCCCAAAAGAGATTCTGCAGAACATTGTTGTAGTAATTATAGTTGGTTCTGTGAGTTTAGAAAAGGCTCTTTAAGCTATAAATGTAGTCAGATTATTGGCTGTTCTATAGAAATCGTGTACAACCTTTTACTCATGAGAAAAAATGAAGTGAACAAGTTAAGTGCTCATAAACATTAACTTAATTTTCTGCTTCCTCTCGTTTAGTATGTTGAAGAAAACTTAGGTGTCATGTCTGTGGGATTCTTGCTTAGTAGTCCTGATGATGCTGTTATCTGGAGAGGACCCAAAAAAAATGGTCTGTACCTTGTGTGTATTTTCAAAGATTATTTTATCCATGGTGATAGCCTATTGATGTTTGGATAATGCTTCAATCTTTTTCCTATAAAATTTGGTTTGGATTAGGTGTTACTGATGACCATAGATGAATGGAAATCAAAGATTCATCGTATGATCAAATTAAATATCTTGAATATTTCTGACAATAAAATGTAAATTTTAAGTTTCAGAAAGGGTAAGCATTTATATTTGTTGACTGTTGCTAATACAAATCTATATTAGCTCTCATAATGATTCATAACTTTGATATACATGAGTATCAAACACTTAAACCTAAATTAATTTAAAATCTGAAAAAGAAATAAACTTTTCATCTGACTCAGTTCTTTAAAGGAAAAATAAGTAGGAAACTCTACCTGAATTGGTTAATAATTCAACATGTAAAAGCACATCACTTATTGCATGTGTAAAATAAAAATAATAATAATAAAAATAAACTAATAGGTACAGAGAGCTTTGCAGAAAACCTCTCTCATTTGTTCTTTGTTGATTACAAATTTATTCTGATAAGCATTTTTTTAAAGTGTATCTTTTTTGCCCAACTAAACATGTGATCTTTTGTTACTGCAGATTTAATATGACCCTTTTTAAGTCCCACTGCACGTTTCACTTTCAAATGAATAGAAAGCAATAATTTAGTAGACTGGAATATACTTAAATATTTTTTTCTTAAAGCACCATCCTGAAATGTTGTTTGACAGTTGGTTTAAAATATGGAAAACTCTGAATAGAATGCTGCACCGGACTGTGCTTGTTATGATTATGATGTGAGGCGGCTGTTGAATTGCTGCATCTCAAGCCCTTCTGGGTGTTTTATACGTGTGCTCCAGAGGAGGAGAGGGGGCTCCAAAAACCGCTTTAATTAAAGCACATGGAGCATCACGTGCATCGGCTTCCCTGCAGGCTTTAGTTAAAGAGCCCCCACTGCCATTTTTAACATGAGGACATTGTTGCATGTGATGCTGGAGCATGGTAATTACCACACTCCAGCAGACTCAGTTAATCAAGTCCGCTCTGATGTACTGTAATTACAGCATATCAGAGCAGCCTTGCTGCACGTGTATAGGCGCCCTCTATGTCTAATACATTGATTTAAAAAAAAATAAAATTATTTTATTTACTTCATGTGCAGCTTTAAAAATAACAGCGTTTCCACAAACGACACAATAGCCACTGTTCCTCTCCTTATCTTGTCTTTGATTGGAACTAGGCAATTCTGATGCTGGACATGAAGAGAATTTAGCTGACATTCATTTGTGGTAGCTCAGCAGGAGCTACCAGGAGTAAAAACAAAAGTCACAGAAGTCAATAGATGTTTTGAGTAGTTGGTGCCATTTTTATTTAGGCTAAATTTTCAGAACCTAATAAATCTTGAAAATGCATGACTCCTTGAATAATAGATTTAATGAATCAAATTCTGAAACTGTATTCAGCAAAAATGTTCAATAAAGTCCAAGACTTTTGATTATATTGGGAATTTCTGATTATGTCTACCTTATGTTAACAGCAGAACTGTATGCTTACTATTCTGAACTGTGAAGTTTTGAAATGTCAAGTTTTTTACTCTAAACATTTTAGGATTGATCAAACAGTTTCTTCGGGATGTGGATTGGGGTGAAGTTGACTACCTGATTGTAGATACACCCCCAGGTACTTCAGATGAACATCTATCTATTATGCAATATCTTGGTGCAACACACATAGATGGGGCAGTTATAATCACCACTCCTCAGGTAAAAGAACTATAACTTTTTAATAATTACAAATAAATTCCGAGGCTCATATTATTTAATTTTAGAAAAAATGGTTATAGCAAAGTCTAGTTAAGATGAAAGATCTGTCATTGAATGTAGACACACAGTAAGGTAGAGTGAATATGTCCATCTGTGAGAGAGGAGGATTTAAATGGCTTTAATGCCATTGGAATTTTCTTTGATCAGTTCAGGAATACAGCCAGCATGATCCCATCTGTCACAAAGTACTGAGTACAAACCAAAGTTTTGAGATCTAGTTATACTGTCAGTTTGCTCTGAACATCAGTATGTTGATTTGAAACAAAAATTAGCTGAATAAATGCCATGCTGCTCTGTGTGGCATTTTGAAGTAGTCTTCAGTATCATAAAACTATGTCTATATAGAGCTGTCAAGAGAAAACATTGGAAAGCAAGAAAAGACTTAAGATGCTAGGGAATGTTGCCTTTTTAAAGAAAATGGAGCTTTTTAATATGGCTTCCTTTCTTGTGATTTAAAACAAAAAGAAAAGAAGAGTCATTAGGATTGAGGTTAGTGGCAGGAAACTAGGAAAATTAGAGAAATAGAGCTGAAGACTGGCAGGTTTGGGTCTGCTGCTCAGTAATAAACTGATAATGGCAATCCAGCACACAGTGGAACCAGCTACTACAGTAACCATTGCCACACACTCCCCTTGGAAAGAGAGGCATACACTTCTCAATATCCAACAATAAATAATGATCAAGTTAAGCAAATGGAAAGGAGCTATATTAACCATAAACTGGAAGGGCTACATCTGCAAGGCTAATGCAACTCTCTGCCACCAGCTGTTTCAAGGAACTCAAGGATGGACGTCATATTATTCATCCTTGAACTCAACTAGCACCTCAGCAATTGTTTCCCTATCAACTCCAAGAAAATCTGCGTAACTGCCTCCACTATTCCCACTCTAGGAACTTCTTATGTGCTAAGATGCATGAAGTACCCTGCATAGGCCCATCCTATTTAAGCATACTACTGTCAGTGGAGGAGTATCTGCATTCCTAGGAACCATCCTCAAGCTACTTGTTACTTGAATTTGTCCCCATGATTAGACTTCCTTAATAAAATCCGCAACACAAACCACCTCTTTGGCACTAACATCCTTCCCCCTATAGACATCACTGGCCTAGATGCTAACACAGAGGTATCCCAGCCTGTCTAAAGTATCTACAAGACCATAGATCACACTTTCAACTACAACATGCTGTGAAACTCCCCCATTTTATCCTCACCAAATGTGCTAGTTGCTTTGAGACCCCTTGAACAAGACTTTGGAAAAATGTACTACCAAATCCATGCACTGTAGATCAGTGCTGCTCGACCTTCTGGCCCAGAGCTGGATCCCATGCAAGGAATTGGCACACTGGCCCAACCCCATGCACTGGATCCGGCTGCAGAGAGACCCTGCATAACAGCCCCACTGCAGAGTGGTGATCTAATACACAGCACCGCATCATCCAGCCTGCAGGGCTCCCCATGGGGATAGAAATGTGGTGACAGGGGAACAGTAATTAATGCTTCCACTAGCCAATTTTTGAATCTGCAGGAAGCCTTGTAGGCTGCATAACACTGCTTCACAGGCCAGAGGTTTAGCACCCCTGCTGTAGGTGCAATATAAATGACATATTTGTTATATGGACTAAATGCCTGGGAATCATGATTGTGGGCTTGATTTCCATGGTCAGTTTAACCCTTACCACCCTAATGTCAGCTTTTATATATGAGCCATAATCAACCTAAAGAATGGCACTATGAAAACCATATGCAAAAAACCCCAAAACAACCCACCAAACTCCACAAAATCAGTAACCATCCCAAACTCAAGAAGAAATTTAATATCTGTAGCTACATCTTCAGCTATCACTGCATCTGTTCTGATAAGAACGGTGAGGTAGGTTTCATGAACAATCTAAGAACAACCTTTACCTACCAAAGACACTCCAACAAATACGGCATCTTTGAACAAGCTATTCAAAATATTGTGCACAAATCTGGCAAGATATAAAATTGTAAACCTCCACCTGGTTATCACATACCATTCCATATTGGAGCCTATAAAAATATAATTAACAGTTAAGTCACACTTTGAAAGAAATTTTCCCAGGTGCCCTTTCCCTGCTAGCTCTCCTGCCTTCTGAACAAACACCCCAATCTCATCAAAATCACTGTCAAAAGCCAAACCTCCACTGGCCAACACCACATGGAACAAGAACTTACCTAAACAAATGCAGAACCTGCTGACAGATCTCTACTGCCAGCACTATCCATGCTTCCCACAACAAAAATATTAGAATCTAAGGGATCCTATGTCTGCCTATCACAGAATGTGATGTACCTCATCCAGTGGTCCAGATAACCTGATAGAAACTATGTGGGTGAAACTAAATCATCACTACACTCTAGACTGAGCTCACAGAAAAACAGTAAAAGATGAAAAATGTCCAGTCACCAGTGTGAGTACATTTTTCACAGAACAACCACTTTGTTTCTGACCTCCAAGTCATTGTCCTGAAGGAACCTACACACTACCTTCAGAAGACAGGCCTGAGTATAAAAATTCCTAACTTCACTAGAAACTATAGCCTTAAGGAAATACTATGTTTATTACAACCTACCTCCTCCTCCTCCTAATCTTCTCTTTGCTTAATTGGTGATAAGGACTAAAACCACTTGAAAAACAGCCATTAAGAGTTAGGTTTAACCATAGCAGCTTTTCTTCACTTGGTCTGTAACTAGTTCGGATGACTATTGAAGCAAATGGAAGTTAGCTGCCTACCTTGCGTTTTAAGGGGGCAAATTAATTCATAGTTGGGAGAGCTGTTAGTAAAAGATATTCTCATCTCATAAATACTTCTTGCTTATTCTCTGGCTATCCACTATGGATATTACAGGAACAGAGGGAGAGGTGGCAAGAAACAAATGGAGCATTATGGAGGAAGTATATGTAAAGAATGCAAGGTTATACGATTGAAAAAAGCCATTGGGAGGTGATCGCATTACTTGTGCGAGAACATTTTGAGTTCCTGTAATGTATTTCATTTTAATTTGGAAATAACAGTAAACTGCTTCCCCTTTGTCTTCTCAGCATTCTCAACTGATGTCTTTCTCTATAACAACAGGAGGACAATATTTGCATAAGTTCTATTTTAAAGAACTAAAGCTATTAATGTAGGTGATAAAACATTGATATGGCTGAACTGATTTCATTGTTTAAGTCGGATTTAAACTTGTCAGAAGAAAACTGAAGGAACAGAAATAGTTTGCTTTATCTTTAGTCCACATCAAGTCATAAAATCTCTTTATTCAGTATAAGGGACAGTAGTTCATATTTTCAGAATTTGAAGTGAAACTATTCCATAAGAACTCTTCTTTGAACAGAGGCTTGAAGTCTTCTTTACTAGGAGGTTTAGTTTTGCAAGACAACTGCATAGGTGAATGATACCACTATCAAAATAACAATTAATCCTGAATTATTGACAGGAAGTGGCCTTGCAGGATGTTCGGAAAGAGATCAACTTCTGTCATAAGGTTAAACTGCCAATCATCGGTGTTGTTGAAAATATGAGTGGCTTTATATGCCCAAAATGTAAGGTAATAGTAAACTTACTACCTCTATTCACCCAATTATGTCTAGATATATGTATTTGGGGTATGTAGTTAGTGATTGTGGGAGTGAAGGGGATTTTTTTTTTTGGCCACGTCAGAGTTGTCTGTTCGTCTGATAACTGGTTCATTAAGAGAATCATGTGGGAAGTAGTCCAAAAAAAACCTTTTGCTTGCTGCTGTTTCCATCAAGAACACGTACGTACATGTACATTTATCCTTCAGAATTTCCTGAGGCCAAGGTTCCTAGATCTGTGTTTCTTCAGTAACAACACTGTGGAGATAATAGTTTCATCTTAAAGGCTTCAGCTACTTTAAGGCAATTTAAAAGTTATGCTTGGCGTCCATCATTGAATAACAAACTTGCTTTTAGATCTGCCCTTTTCTTAAATACCTCTCATTCAAAGAGCTCATTATCTGGCATTTCTGAATATCTCTTGTGAATGCAGCTTGTGGGGTGAGAGAGACTTCTTCTGAAGTGCTGTGTGATCAAAAACTTGCTGCTTCTCCCTTGTCTACTTCACTTCTAAAAGTTTATCCAAAATTATAAATGTTTTCTTATTCCTGGCAGTTTCTCCTGGATATTGAGTTCCTGATAAATCTTTTAAATGAGTAAGCTTAAAATGCATTGTTTTGTTTTTGCAAATAATTCTGCAACTTTTAGAAGCATTATGGGCCTTAAGTGTTTTTTTTAAAGCCACTCCCAAGCTGATGGCATGTACCCATTATAAAAAGATTATGAGAATTAGGAGAGAGAAACAAAATTACAATATCTTGCCTACCTGGAGGAGGATTGGGCAGTGGTAATGACGCAGCTCTTGATTTGCTATTAATGATGACCTACAAGTCTCTCTTGAGAATGCTGCCTTGGCCTCTATCCCATTGTCCACTTAAATATTTAAATGCTTGCAAAACTGGGAATCATTCATCTATCACAACTCAGGAGTCCTAGATATTGGATTCATCCAAAATTCAAGCATGTTTTGTTTTTAAATCCCTCACTTTTATTATATCAACATTCAAAAACTTTAAAATGTGGATTGTTTGTTATACACATTTTAAATTAATGGTAACTTTGAAAGTAAAGGAGCAGTCTGATGCATTCTTTTCAGAATTTACACATACATATCTAAAAACATTTATTGGGAAGAAATGATTTGTGTAGAACATCAATGTGTTTAGTGGTCACATGCCAGGAAACTACTTTAAGCAGCCTTCAGAAAGCCCAAAATGTTTAGTCTTTCTAATCTTAAATGAGATTTCAGTATCCCGTGATGTTTCAGAAAATATTGTTATGCACAACTGAAAGTGTTCTTAAAATGGTCTTGGTTGCAAATCTCTCTCTTTGTTTTTATTTCCCCCATTACAGAATGAATCTGAAATCTTTCCTCCAACAACAGGAGGTGCAGAGACGATGTGCAAAAATTTAAATGTTTCTTTCCTGGGTAAAGTGCCTCTAGATCCTCAAATAGGTAATCTTTATAGTGCACATTTTAAAAAGGCAGAGGTGTCTAGCAGTAGTTTACAGTGCTCTGACTTTGTTATCTTAGTTTATCAAATAGGCATTTAGTCACTATTTAAAAATCTCTGTTCTAAATACCATTTCCCAACATTGCTTTTACATTAAAAATGTTGATAAATGGAAAGATATTGAAAACAGTAAGTTGTTCTGAAATGAGCAGTGATAGTCACTTTTGTAGCTATAATAATATTAGCTTTTACCTTTTATTGGAACATGTAACTTTCTCTCTTTGGCAAGTTGCTCATTTACATTGAAGACTAGATGAAACCAAACCCATTAGAAGGAAGAACAAAATTTTGTAAACGCTAATGTTTGATAAAATGAGAGCTGTACTTTTAAAATTTCAGCTACAAAAGTAGTTCAAGTCGTGAATCATGTTGGAATTGTAGTGGATGTAATCTGATGTGCTGCCTAAAGATAATTAAATAGCAGATGATATTATGGAAGTTAATGTAAAGCAAGACCAGGTTGGTATTGCCAAATAAATTCCATGGAAGTAAAGAGCAGCATCCCATCTAGGCAAAAGAGAACGCATTTATAGTCTTTGATTTAGAAATATCAGGGCCTCAATATGATAAACATAAATACCTGTGAGAACTGCTACATGTAGCTCTATAGACGTGGTTGATACAGGAAGAAATGTGGTAAGAACAGCAGAAGCTCTTGATTGATTCACTAGAATTAAACATCATTGGGAGTGGGTAACTTTTCCATAGTTCAGTAGTTATCTTAATTTTTCCTCCTCCAGGAAAAAGTTGTGATAACGGCCAGTCATTTTTGTCTGAAATACCCGAGTCCCCAGCTACATCATCTTACAAAAATATCATCCAAAGTAAGTAGCTCATGCTAGGAAGCTTGTGTTTGGATACTTTTCCCAGCTCACAGTAGTTACCTTACCAAAATGTCACAGGTGCCTACAGCATGACCTTAGTCAAACCCCACCATTAATAATCCTTTAATTGCATGCATTTTGTATGGTTGGTTACCAAAAATTTCCTGTCCACTTATTCTGACAAAATAGTTTTAATACTTCAAACAGGCATTTAAGGGGAAATTGGGTAATTTCCTAATCAGTAATATAGTATAATTTAGTTTCATATTCTTACTCACATCCACCTCCAGAAGAGTAGGCAGATAGATAGTACTCAAAAGGGCATGTAGCACATGTGAAACTTTTCCAGTCATTTCAAATTAAGCAGGGTAGTTTGAAAGAAAGCAAAACAACCCTAAGTTCATGGAATGTCCAGAATACTAAACTCACTACTATTCTGTTTACTTTTCAGGAATTCAAGATTATTGTGGTTTACACCAATCTCAAGAAAAGTAGATCCAACTAGTGAATGGACTTTATACATATTTCATATTAATTATAGGAAAATAATTTATGTCCTGAATGATCAGAATCAAATGTAAAGAGATCTCCTTTTCTATTTGCAAATAAATTTTTGGTAATTAATTGCTGCCTCTTAATTTTCTGTTTTTATAGTTTGCTGTTACTGTAACATACTAATGGCCATCTAATCCAATTGATGCTTTGAAGTTTGTTATAACTGTTCATCATACAAGTGCAAAGCTTTGGATAAATATCTACTTTAGATGCGTACGCATAGCATTTATTCAGAAATTTATACATTAAACAGTTTGTTTTCATTGGGACATACATAATGTGTTCCATTTACCTATTAGTACTTTCTTCAAGTCTTCTGGAGATTAACTGTAGTGTATATTTCCATGCACTTGCTGAATAAGATCACTTGAATACATTTTTCCTTCGACTAACAGACTTACGCTGTAGTTCTCAATTTAGTGTTGACTTCTCTCAGGACTACAGTGTCTTTCTGGGAAAGGAAAATGATGACATTATCTAGTGGGAAAATATCACTAGCCAGAGGCAGTTTCTGTGTTAGTCTTCAAATCGGCCAACAGGGCAGGGTGGCACTTTAGACACAAACTGGTTCAAAGAAGCATGAGCTTTTATAAGCATCAGTCCACCATTCTACCTCACCAGTTAGCTTTCATAGCCAGCAATCTATTTTGTCAGATGCTAATGCCCCTCTCATCCATTTAGTCTAGTTGTTCTCAACCTTTTTAGACTCAAGACCCATGTCAGAAAATGCTTTCGCTTGGGTTGGGTTTTTTTGTTTTGGAAAAATAGCACAATTCTGTTGCAAAGAACATAAAGACCACAACAGGCCAGAATGTTATTTGACACCATGGTTTCCTATTTTAATTCTCCAGGTTTATTTTGTGAATCTTGTGTAGCACCTTGGCAGAAAAATCACTGAGTTAGTCTCTAAGGTACCACCCTGCCCTACCTTCTGACTGGCCATCTTTAGACAAGATGTTGTTTTTCCCTTATTTGTAATAGTTGCACTCCAATTTCTTCTAGTTGGAAAAGATTAATTCCATTTTCTTTCAAATTAAATCAGTTCAAGTTTAACTATATGGTTACTCAACAAAATGTGGCGAGTTTAGGGAAACTGCCAACTCCAGAATGTAATGAAAGAAAAGTTTAAGTCTGAACACTGACTAATCTCTTGGTAATTTAAAGGTGCTGAACACTTAAGGGCAGTACTGTGTGGTCAGAAATCCCCCTTTAAGATAAGTTGATAAACTTCTTAAACTGAAGCAAAGCATCCTTGCATAGCAAGATCAAGAACTTGCCTTTACCGTGAATTAAAAAGATGTAGATTTTCTTTCTGACTCTGCCTTTTTAATTTGTTAGTTTGTATTTCTTTTTCTTATCAATTTTAGATCTGTCATTAAAAAGACTCTGGCCAACTTTTTTTTCTTGACCAGACACATTTTGTAACTACTGCATAATGCTAACATCAGTATATTTTATAAAAGTAATAAAAACTTTTCATTTAAGAAAGCAATTTTTTTAAATCAGGTTTTCCTGCATCAACCCTATGTATTTGCTCACCTAGTGGTTGTGCATTTCCATACCCTTCAAGACAATCTTCTGAAATTCTTCTGGTCTGTCCTGTGGAATGAGCAGAGGAAATTGACATTTTGTGGATGCAAAAACCCCATACTGGCAGAAAAAATTATCAGGAACTGAAGTGCTTAACTGGCCCTCATGGCTGTACCTGGGCATTTGCAGGAATCATTAGCAGATGCAGCTGAGAGGACTTAAATTTTCTTTAAAAGGAGCAATGGAAACCTCAGTGAGTTGGTAAACCTACAGCTTGAAAAAGGAAAAATAGCTAGCTCCTGGGGTGGGCCCCAAGAAAATGAAGACCAGGACCAGCAAAGGTAAACCCTTTGAATAGCTGTGCTGCAAGGAACCATAAGATGCTTACGTAAAGGGGTGAGGGTTGTGTTTTGAGGAAAAAATGTCGCTTAGGTACCCCAGAGGATTAGGACTTAGAAACAAAAAAAATGTGGTGTTGAGAAGCCAAGTAGGTAGGCATGAGTGTCTAGAATTTTCTGGATAACTGCTATCTGAGAAGGGGTGGGGCTAAATATGGGGCTGGAGTGCTGAATTTCAGGAGAGGTGAGCAGACCATTACAGGGCCTGAAATAACAGGGGAACACAGCTGTGGTGCTATAAGAGAGTGCACTGGATAGTGGCTCACTCTCCCACATTACTCAATATCCTAAAACCAGAATGCATGGGGAAGAGTTGCCATCACATTCTACACTTAAACAAATCTGCTTCTATTGGCTCTAACCTAGAGTGAAAAATTCATAGGAGATTTCCCTCCACCAAAAAGATGACCTGTAACTGTCCTGGAATTCATTTGAAAGTTAAAGTTCACCTTCCAGGGAAACACTTCCATATATAGCAATCCTTTTCAAGACTGCTTCAGACTTTTCTTCTTCTTAAGACTACTTGCCTCTTTCTCCAGTGAATCAATAACTGTAAAATCCTAAAATCATCCATGCAAAATGTAAATCATCATGTTCAATTTAATTAAAAGTGGCTGTATGTCTTGCAAATAGTGTTGGTTGTTATCAAAATACTTACTCTTTGAAACATCTGCTGTGATAGGAGCCTGGAAGTTACTTGGCTGATGCTTTTTTGTCCTCCTAATTTACAATGGATGTATCCATATAAGTTAGCAGTTTGAAGGGAGATTCCAGCTATCACAAGAGCCTAGAAATAATAAAAAATTTAGGATGATTAACATGTACATTTAAACTGCATGGTCATTTAAACCATAAAAAAATTACCTCCAATAATTCAAATTTTCATTTTGGAAAGTTAATTAGTAATGTAGTACTCTTTCATACTATTTAACTATGATTTAACACATCCAGCTGCAGAATTTGTTTGGCAGAGTTAATTTCTCACTTTTCTTCTAGTTAATTTTGTCTGGCTACAACAGAAAAGTTTTAGACTGGAGAGCTAAATCTGTACTGCTGGTTGCTGGGAGTCTAACTAAAGGGATGACTAGCCAGTCTTGGAGGGGTGAAGTTAAGAATGATAATACCTGTACCCCACCAGAGGCACGACCTCTAGTTGGCAAGTAGAGATTCTATATCTTAAGGCTTCCACTGGATCTTTGTGACTTAAAGATATCATGAAGTACAAATGTGACTTATTTTAAAGGATTCGGGTTTTTTATTTCTTTTCATCGATTTCTAGGGTCAGAAGGGACCTTGTAGATCATCGAGTCTGACCCCCCTACTCTAGGCAGCAAGTGCACTGGGGTTAAATAACCCAAGCTAGGTGCCTATTTAATCTCTTCTTGAACACCTCCAAAGTAGGGGAAAGTATGTATCACCTCCCTTGGAAACCCATTCCATATTTTGGCAACCCTCACCATAAAGAATTTCTTCCTAATATCCAATCTAAATCTACTCTCCTTTAGTTTGTGGCAGTTATTTCTAGTAACCCTGAGGGGCACCCTGGTAAACTGTCCCCTATTCTCAGCTGACCCACCCTCAGCTGACCCCCCCCCCCAATGAGTTTGTAGACAACCACAAGATCCCCCCTCTGCCTTCTCTTGTGGAGGCTGAAGAGATTCAGCTCCCTCAGTCTGTCTTCATAGGATCCTACCCATAGGCCCTCAACCATATGAGCAGCCCTTCCCTGAGCCCTCCCAAGGTTATCCACATCCCTCTTGAAGTGTGGTGCCCAAAACTGGACACAGTACTCCAACTGCAGCCTGATCAATGCCACATACAGGGGAAGTATCACCTGCTTGTGATGCACCTGCTAACGTAAGAAAGAGTGCAGTTAGCCTTACTTATTACCTCATCACATTAGCAACTCATGTTCCTTTTTGCATTGACTAAGACTCCGAGATCCCTTTCCACTGCCGTGGTACTCAGAATAGTACTTCCTAGTCTATAGGTGTATTGGAGATTCTCTCCCCAGGTGCAGCACCTTGCACTTATCCTTGTTAAATTGCATCCTATTCTGATCCACCCATTTCCCCAGTCTATCCAAATCTGCCTGGATTTGCTCCCTGCCCTCTAGTGTATTAACTGTACCCCATAGTTTGGTGTCTGCAAATTTAGACACCAGTGCCCACATCTGTCTAGGGAGAAACCGCCCCATCCACCACCGCTCCCTGGGTGTGTCCCATAAGCCATTTTTTCACCCACCTTACTGTGAAAAAATCCACATCACAGCTACTCAGTTTGCTTGTAAGAATTGGGTGTGACACTGTCGAAAACCTTTTTAAAATCCAAGTAAATAACATCTATCTCCACCCCTGCATCTAAGCACTTTGTGACCTGGTCGTAAAAAGAGACTAGGTTAGGTCAGGCAGGATCTGCCTGCTAGAAACCCATGCTGATTTCCCCTTAACATTGTGTTGCCCCCCACAAATATGATCCTTTATGATTTTTTTCTAAGGTCTTGCCAAGAACAGAGGTGAGGCTAACCGGCCTATAATTACCTGGATCCTCCTTCCTCCCCTGCTTGAAAATAGGTACCACACTGACCCCTTTCCAGTCTTCTAGAACCTGTCCTGAGTGCCACAAGAACCCTGTATTACAATGGTCTATTACCACCAAATTACTTGCAGTTGTTGCTGTATGACATGCTTACCAGCCACTTCAGCTTTAAGGAAAACAAGGTGCTAAAAAAGAACAGGGTCCAAATAATGGGGCAGATAATCAGACCAAGCCAGAAGATACGAGCTTCAACTTCAGTTGAGGCAGCAATGTTTGTAGAAACCTTTAATAATAATAATCATCATCATCATCATTATAGAGTAACAATAAAGTATTTTTCAATTACTGAAAAAAGCTAAACTGTTTACCAATACTTGGGTCTCAGGGCACTGCTTTCAGAGTTGAGTTGTATTCTTGTTTCTACTGCTGTTTATATATAGGTTTATTCTAGCTGACTAGTTCTTTGTGGTAGACTATGATTTTTTCTTAAACTGGAATTCAGTTAAATTAAACAACAGCAATATGGAAAAAAATACACATACACACACAACTTGCAAATACTACTATTTGTATACACACAAAAATTTATGATGCAGGTCCTTAACGGTGAGGCACTGAGACATGATTTTGTTGAGTAATTAGTTAAGAAACTAGCATTTAGTTGGTTTGTTAGAATGCATGTCTATGTTCAGAAATCGAAAAGGAAGTACTCATGAAGTAAAAATCTCACTGTTCATAACTACTCTAAAATGATGAAGTACCTTGGAATTGTGATGTTCAGCAAATTGTACTACCTAAGAAGTAATGTCAGTGATATTTGTAAAGGGATTAATGTACAGCATTTTTTTCCAATGGACCATTCCATAGTCAGAGAACTCAATTGTATTTAGTACATCAGCTTTCCTGTCTTAATATATGTGGTAACTTGTGTATTGTTACTACAGCTCTTACCTTTTTTGCTTCAAATACCCAGTGGCTTTTTCCATCTTCATCAATCTGATTCCACCATCGTAGCCCAACCAAGAGTCTTCCAGTAACATTCTAGGATAAAGTCATTGCTGAGTAATTCACACAACAGACACCAGTTCTTTCCAAGTGCGTGATTTTGAAACTGGACATTTAAAATTAATGTTTAAAATGAGTTATGAAAGCTATGCCAACTTTCAGGGCAGGGGTGAAGGTAGGGGACATGGTAACTGAAGGCAGGTGAGTTTAATAGAAGTTTAGAGGCCTGTATTCCCATTTAAAAAAGGGAATTGGTGCTAGAGCATTATCCTTTGGATTACATGGGGAAATTTGCCTGCCTTTCCCAAGCAAGATTACAAAAGTTGTTTATGAGGGGACATTCCCAGGCTTTGAAAAAGAAAGGGGAAATCCCAATAAGATATAAAACGCACTGAAAAACGGAACATTCATTGTAAACAAGCAAGTTGCACAGATTCAAACAACAGGTTAGACATTAACCTTTACATACAAATGAATGCCATAGCAATTTTTCACTATATTAGACATTAATGTGCACAGGAGAAATAACACATGCATGCCTTGTTCTACCTCTACTTTTTCAGAAGCTCAAGATTTTTTTTGGAAAATGTTACATACACGACCAAAGGCCCAAGCCTAAATTAAAATAAAATCTAAACTTTGCTATTTAATGTAAAAACAGAATTAATTATTTTGAAAGAAAATAAAATATTCTGTGTGGATAGGGACATCCATATAATTTATAGGTCAGGTTTAAAAAACAAAAAAAAGTCTTAAGGGATTTTTTTGTCCTGGCTCCCCTAAAAAAAAAAAAATCCTAGAATTTAGGGAGATGGAGTCAAAATGTGAACAGAAAGCATTGAACAGATTAGAATTAATCTTATTTTTTTTCCTTTCACCAGCAATCTTTTTAGATTACAATTTTTTTGAATGACAGAATTTTATTTCAACAAAGTGATTTTTTTCTACAAGTCTGTCACATCCAGAAGACCCACCACACCAATGCAACATTGCTACCGTCTGCCATTCAGATTTTTGGATAATGGCCTTACTCAGTTGGGGGGGAGGGGAGGGTGATTGCAAAATGGCAGATCTGGCAGGTGGTCCGACTCTCTTTCCTAGCAGCCCCTGCCCACGTGGCTGCAGCCAGTTTCCATGGAGACCCCAGGTGCAGTGGTGACATGACAGCATGGGGCCAGGGTTTCCATGCACTGGCAAGGTAGGAAGCTGCTTCAGGGCTGGGGCTGAGATCTTGCAGCAGTGACAGCATGGTCTGGAGACCAGAACTGCCCTGGCTCCAGACTATGGTGTTATCGCCAGATCGCCTGCTTCCCGCCCATCCATGTGCCCTGCCAGCACTGCTGGGGCCGGATTCCATTGAAACCCTGGTCCACACTGTCATGGCTCCACTGCACCTAGGGTATCCATGGAAACTGGCCGCAGTGACAGTGCAAAAGCTACTGGGAAATGGAGTCTGCTGCAAGCCTGATCTGGCCCGTGAGTCAAACTTTGCCCACCCCTGGCATAACTGGACCTCTCTATAAACCAAACAGGGACTGTATATGTGCAACAAAATTCTGGGCAGGGAAGGAAGTCTACTCCACCTGCACAGATCTGACTATTAAGTCAATGCCTTGGGTTGCTCTGTAAGTAATCCTTTCTAGTTTCCCAGTTCTTGGATAACATAGAACTACATTAAGCTTATAGATTCCTTCTGCAGTTGTTTCAAATATTTGGTTTGATTTTTAACTTGAGTGCTTAGACTCTGGACTTGTTAACACATGATTACAGAAAATGAAAAAATATCCAAAGATTTTTATACCCCTTGCTACCATTTTTCTTACATTAACTGCTTCTTTTGAGTCTCAAACCTGCTGCTGTTTACATTGAATAACTAGGTCAATAATGAGGCATTGAGCCACCTTATCCAGTCTCAGAAAGAAGCCACAAACATTTCCTCTGAGGTAACTTCCTTACTACTTTAATATTTGTAAATGCTGTTTCCATTTTGTTTAAAGAAAAAGATTACTGAATTCTTTGAGTGTATTTGGCACATATTTGTTTTTTCTTAATTGTAAACAAAACACTTTCAAACTCAATTACTGGTTCAGAAATGTCTTACCTTAACTGACCAAAAGTCAAAGGACAGAAGGAGGAGAATAGTGACAAAACAGGCAACAAAGCTTTTGCTGAACCAGTCACAGAACAAGTAGGTAACAATAGCACTCACTCGGAAAAACAGGTGGAAAAAGGTAGCCAGTGGATGCCTAGGAAAACAATCCAGAACACTTACTAACTTATGAGACAAAGAAATAGGATTATCATGCTTACTAATGATGCAGTTACACTTATGAAATGCTCCTGTAAATTAAATTTAATTTTCAATAACATCTGTCAGTTTTCAGTTAGTGGCTGCTATGAGAGGACGTGTCAAATGCGCACTCATATATGTGCTTAATTCAACAAAGGCATCACTTTCCCAGTGGTCTTCCTTCCCTTCATACAGAACAATAAAATATATACAACACTCCTTCATCAAGTTGTATCTGTTATTTCCAAAAGGAGCCCATGTCAGCACTTTGATTTTTAAGCATCCAGATGTCAATTAAGTACTTTGATCTGCTCAGTATTGCACCAATATTTCAATTAGCACAGTAGGGCAACAAAAATAGAAGTGCAAGGTAACAGACAGATTTATTCTATTAAGAACTGTTTTGAAAACAAGACAGTCTTAAATTATAAAAGCTTGTATATTTGAAATGGATATACCTTTTACATGGAGACCATATTAAACTCTAATAGTGATAAAGGAATCTAAATACTTCAAGTACTCACTGTGAGAGGCAGGTCTGAACTAGAGGTACTAATGAATTTCTATCTGAAACAGTGCTTATTAGTTCCACTGGTTTCAACTAATGCAAGCAAATACACAAAACCTAATTTTGCCCATTTGGAAACAAGGAGAAATGCTAGAGGAAGGAATTTCTTAGTCTGTAGGGCTAAAAAACAGACAACCACCTTTATTTGCATTTGAGCATTGTGTCTTGCAGCAAACTCAGGACCTTACAGACCAACAAGCCCCCTGTCCCACATTAAGTACCTGTGAATTATTGTAATTAACATTTTGCCTCTGAACAATCCTGGCTAATTTGATTTAATTGCCATCTAAGCCTAGTGTGTAAATGACTGTGCCAAATATATGTTGATGCAAGTCATATCTCTAGTCAGGGCCACATTAACTCAGTTCTGTTTTTAGCCAGAATAAAAGGCCTTAGCTCAGAAAAAATCCTACCTGTTTTTAGCCTTAAAAGGGATTCCAGTTTTAGGGTTCTGCTACTCACTACCCTGGACTGGAAAAAACACACGAGGCATCACCAATTAGTCCCACTGTCCAATTTTGCAAAGAATACCAATATGCTATGTACAAGACTACTGCATATCTCTTCTTTGATCCTCCAAAAAAGACATGAATTTAACAAATAAAAGCAAAGCCTTAAATTTGAAAAGTTGCAGTAATCATGGGGAAAAGACCCACTGCTGGGTTTATCATAGTAAGTTTAATGTTGCCTAAATATAAAATACTGGAATGGTTTCTATGAGGCCCCGATTAATTAGAACATCTAATAAAGTGAGCCTTCACCCTACAAAAGCTTGTGCTATATACCCTAACCAAAGTAGATATACAGTGCAAATCTATGCTGCTTTCTAATTAAAAGCAATGCCAAGTATTTGGAGGATAATCAATTTGGTTCAAGTCTGAGGCTATGGGAACACTGATTAGTAAATGAAAACATCTAGCTGTACTAGGACATTGACAAGACAGGTAAAGGCAAAACTTATGGAATAAGTCTTATTCATAATGAATAAATTAAATTACTTCTGAAAATGAATAGATGTTATGTTTGTAGATGTTAAAAGTTAAATGGAAGACTACTTGCAACTCAAGAAAATAATAAGTGAGAGGGCCAATTCACTATTGCCCATTGTGTACAATTATCTGTCTATACATCCTAAGTTTTAGTCTAAGCTTTGAGTTACAAGTGGCCATGTTGACTTCCCCAGAGTCTAATATTTTAAAAAGTTATGCAATAATATATAAGGCTGCTATTAAGTGTGACATAGCAGTGTTCCCTGTTAATTTTCTACATCTAGTCAATTTACAATTGTAGGGGTTTTTTTATTTCTGCCAATCAGCAAACTAACACTAGAATTTAAAAACTCACTAATCAACAGCAGTAACAGGAATTCTGTTATCTGTCTGAAATCTACATTTCATTTAAGAATTGTTTAGGATATGCTTGTAAGATAGAATATTTCATGCTTTTAGAACAAAACCAGCAATAAAATGCTTGCAGAAGTAGTGAACACAATTGGTGAAGTAAGTGTGATGCTGGGACAAACCAAGCAAGCAATAACATTTTATATAAATCAGTCGCCCACATTATGATCATACCCACATTAACCTCAAACTTTCCCCAAATCCTCTTCTCGGTTACGTTAACCATGTGACCCTGAGTGGTGTTTTTTCAGTTGCTTGTGAGAGAAAAGATGCAATTAATGAAAATTATCAAAATCTTAAGTGACTGTGGGTCTTATCTGTGTCTTGACTTCAATCCAGTAGGGGTATTTCATGTATTTTTCTTGTTTTAACAGCAATTCAGTATAGGCAATGTAAAGAGTTTTAGCTAGATAAGTCATTGTTAAGGTATCTGGAAAAAATGCACAAATCAAATGGACAAGTAACCACTGGTACAGTACCACTTAACACAAGGCCTTACATAATACTGGACTTGGCATTTCTCTGACTTTGCACTTTGATGGGTAGGAGAGGTGACTCATAGGGACTGGCTTAGATTTAGGATTTTTTTATAGGAATAAGGAATAAAAGAAAACTGTTTATTGTAAACTTATAATTTTAGTTTTGCACAATGCACCAAAGCAAGCAATTAAAATATAAAACTAGATAATGCTCTTCAAGAGCAGATTTGTTAATAATTAATTACACTAACCTGGGTGTTCCCCTGCAAGGGATGTTTTTAAAGAATCTTTCATAGGGAGGATATATACGGAAAAGGAAAAGGATTTTGATTTACCTCAGCCTGTGAAACAATGCTGCTACTTGTTTCACTTCCCCACAAGACACACACAGCTCCTTTACAGAATGGAGTATCACCATTTTTTCTTCCAAAACAATCCTTCCTCTCATAATCCTAGCAAGCAGCTTTGGGCAGCTTACAGAGAAGCAAAGATGAGATGCATACATCCTATTACAACTGTTTTAAACTGTAGATGTCTGCTGAATTTGTAAAATCCACACAGCAGAGAAACTTGTATTAGGGAAAATGTGAAAACCAATCATCAAAATAGCTAATCATGGTTCAGGCTCAGCCTCCAGTGGGGAATAAAAGGAAGGCCTGAGGAATCTGAAAGGAGTTCTACAGGTAACAGGAACTCCACACTATGAACTCTGATAGTAGGGTGAGAAAGGGAGATATTTCACACCCAGCAATTGTAAGTAACAGTAAGTCCAAGGAAGGACTGGTAATAAGGCTAAGAGATCTCATATTTCAATTTTTTCCTTACTGACCAGGAAAAACCATCACTACTAGACAACAGAAGGGTCTATATTGCATTCAGTTATGAAGTGATAAATGAACAAAGGGTAGAATAGTTTGTTTTATGGTTCTAGATCTCTATTAGCTTCTTGGGCTATTGTATCAGGACTGTGATCTTATGTGGTTGCACTCAACTCAGAGAGAGAAAAGTCAAGTGGATCTATAAGGGGATGAATCCCTTTTAGGATATCTTTCCTTACAAATGAAATCTAGGTGCAAGAGGCTTTTATATACTAACCTCTGCAAGTCTGGCAAAAAAGTTGAAAAGATAGTTTTATGTAATGCCAATGTCTCCCTCCTATCTGTAAGAAATGTTTCACAAAATCTCCATAACTGTATATGCTGGATGTGTTCTCCCATTACTACAAAGAGAAGTATATTTTTCTGTTTTTTTTAATATCAACTACAATGGGTTCCCCCTTCGTGAGAAATTCAGAATGTAAAACCACAACAGCAAGGAAAACAGCATAAATCTGTCTCTCACAATAATTTATCACTGGTTATAGAAGTCTGTGGTAAAAACAGGAAGGCAGATTAAAATAAAATGAAAGGCAGCCTATTTGGCTGGATGATGATTGACTTCTGCCTCTAAGTTCCAGCAGCGGTAGACCTCTCCATTTTTTATTACTATGTTAGACAAAACTGAGCACAAAAAAGGAATATTGTGTTCAACAGTTTGATTTATGTTCATTATGGCATCCTTCTCTGTTTCTGGATGACTGAATGACATTGACCAGTTTTAGCTGATTTATATAAGCTGTGCTGACCAAGTATGACTTACTGTTGAGCTTGTAGCATATTGGCCTTTTTATAGGGACTTTAGTTGGTCAAGAATCTATGTATTAAGCTAGATTTCCAGACTTGGTTTGGCATGAACATTAAACTCAAATAATTCTACATTAATATATATTCAGCCATTATTCCAAAGGATCTCAACCTTTACTTATTTCTTTAACTACCTACTATCATAAACATCAGCTGTGGAAATATCTGTTGGACTGTATTTATTCTTTTACTTCAGAGCTAGCAAATTAGTTTCTAATTCCTTTTCTGTATACATAAGATTCTTAATTTAAAAATTCCCAAGCAGATAACAGCAATGAAGTGGATGTAATGAAGGCAACAAAAATTGTGTCCCTCTTGAACAACAATAAATGTATAGCTTCCTAAATCAATCTGTAGGCAAACAAAATTAGTCTAGACTTAGGCCACATGCAGACATTCAGTTTCTCCTGAGAGTTGCTGCTCGCCCAAGAGAAACATTGAGTGTACAATGTTCAAACTCTAAAAGCACAGTCTTACATTTTGAAAAGGTAAGCATAGCCTTCTGCCTACACAGAGCCCCAGTATAGACTGTCTGGGCACATAAGCCACTCAGTTGTGTGTTTTGATCTAAATTTAAATCCTAAGAAATGCGGGAATAAGAGGAATGGGGAATCTTTTAGTTGCTTTGGGTTAAGTATACTGCTGGTTTCAAGTCCCTTTTTTTCCATTTTCTAAGCGGAAATGGTTTAATTCACGTATGTCTTTGCATCTGAAACTCACATGATTGTGAGATGAGATGAATGAGCACAAGAGGATGTATGACCTAAGTCATGTTTAGTTTTCCACTTCCTAAAACATGAAGAGATTTAGTTTTTCATTTTCCTATCTAAAAGCACCAGGATAACCATGCATACACTGAGACATAACCAGCAAAATTTAATTATTCTTCTCCTGTAGTACAACTTAAGTGTTACATGCTTCTAAACTTAAAAAGCTTGGACAGCCCCCGCTGGAGCAGTTCACAAAAAAAAAAAAGATGGAGGAGGTGCTCAAGTATGTTACAGACGCTGTGAGCACAGATGTGACTAGTGTGCTTACACTGAAGTCAGACCGAGTAGGGCAAAGTGGTATCTTAGACTAACTGGTTCAGAGAGGCATAAGCTCTTGTAGGCAACAGCCTATGTTGTCAGATGATGCTGTGAACGGACTAGCACAAAAAAAAGACTTCATGGGATGCAAATTGGCCAGGCTAGGTTTTTCTAGTTTTTATAACTATCCAATTTGCAATGGAAACATTGTTAAATACAGTCGATGTAATTTTTAGAACCTATTTTGAGATGTACCAGTGAAGGGAGTTGCAGATGTTTAAAAGGAGGAAGTGAAATCACTCTGATTTAAAACAATGTCAAGACTGAAAAGCTAAAATCTTGTTTTTTTTCTAGCCCACTTTTTATTATTGTACTCAAGCAAGAGTTTCTACTTTCCTGCTCTTGAAAGAAGAGGCAAGCTTTTCAGCAATGTTACCTTAATCCCACATTGCCCTAAATAGGTGTAGAGTTAATTTGATCCCATGAAGTACATTTCTAGCTTCCACTGAACACTATTTTCTGGTTTTTACCATTGTTTAAACAAAAGCTTATTTTTAGGTTTATTTTTAGGACAATAGGTTGCCCTTTAAATTTTCTATTTAATTAAGTCCGATATGGGATTTAAAACTCCACAGTAACTTGGTGTAGCTGAGAGTAGCTCCTGGACTAAAGGCTACTGCTGGGAGGATGTTTAACTTGGGAGTGCATGAGCAGAGAGAGTTCACAGAAACAGGTGTGCGCAGGGATAGGCAATTCCTCTCTCGGTGTGCGTTTCTGGGGCACTAGCACCCTCGGTCTTATAGGTACCCTCGCTGTGCGCAAATGCATCAGCAACTCGGCCGTGCACACCCTGACGTGGCTTCATATTTCCCCGAACACCACACAAAGTTTTGCACCACATGAGACCGACCAAATGGGAAGTTAAGACAAGGTGGAGCGGGGCCCGAACATCACCCCACCGTGAAGCAGGTCAGCGGGGTGCTCTCATCCTCTTTCCTTCGTGTGAGAATTTCAGAAACTTAAAAATAAGCTTCTGTGGGAACGTGAGAAATCAGCTCGCCTTCGAGAGCTTCTGCTTCGCCTTCCTGTGATGCAGGCGAGGGCACGACTCTGCCCATGTGGCACCCAGGTCTCGGTGCCAAGGAGCCCGGCTGCCCCGGGCAGGCGCAGATCCGGCCTGCTGCACGGACACGCCGATCCCTCCCCTTCCCTTCCTGTCGGCACAGGGGCCCGGCGCGCGCCGGCCAGTGTCGCCTCCTCCAGCCCCTGCCCTTGAGGCCCTGCCCGGCTCCTCGCCCTGCGGGCCCGCTCGCCACCCCTCACCTGATCCGGGCTTTCCTCAGCCTCAGCTCCTCCTCGGCGCCGAAGTCCAGGGACACGTCCTCGGTGTCGTCCGCCAGGGGCTGCAGCGGAGGGACAGGGCCCGGCGGTCACGTCACGGGGATGGAGACCCCCTCCCCCCGCTCCCCTCCCCCCACGAGCCCTGCCAGCTTCATCGTCCCGCGCGGAGCCGGCGCGGCCGGAAGCTGGCG